AAGCTTTTTTTTGGGAGCCCCCCCCCCNCCCCCCCCCCAAAGAGATTCACGGCGCCGCGGACCTCATCTTGCTTCTTTGCCCCATGGCATCTTTCTTTCTTCTCCAGGTGCCCCGAGATGCGTGGTGCCGCGTTGGCGTATCAATGTTGGATCTCTACGAGGACGATAACGACGACTTTTGCATGGGTCGAGCTTGGGGCGCGAGTCGCGTCGCGGTGTTAGGCTTCTTTCGCTATGCTGCTGAGCTAGGGAAAGGACGCCCCCCTCGTGGCGTGCCAGCATTGCGCGAGGCCATGGTGAAAACGCTGACGCACGAGATTTTGCATTGTTTCCTGTTTGATCATTGCACCCGCGGCAGTTGCTTAATGAATACGACGGGCAATCTGCACGAGGACTTTGAGGCCCCCTTATGGCTGTGCGAGGAGTGTTTGGCCAAGTTATGCCTGACGCTCGATTTTGACGTCCGGGATCGCTATGCGTGCCTCGCAGAGGCATTGACTGGCGAGCCCGCATTTGCTGGAGACTTGCAGCACCTGCTGGCCCGCCGAGACGCAGCCCGCCGCAGCTCGCCATCGATGAGCCAGCCGGCTACGTAAGCTCTCTTGAGGGTCGGATTAGGCGTGATTTTCCTGCGCGGCGCCAGCTTCTCCCACCAGTCCAGCCGCCCAGCGGCGGTTTCGCAGTTCCTTCTTGATGCGTGCATATTCTGTCGCCACCTCGAAAAACTCGGGACCCAGTGCCTGGTAGCTCTGCGAGCAGTCGGGCCGATGTTGCAAAACAGCCCGATGTGAGGCAAAAGACGTGAGAGACGGCGCACACAGGTCAAGCGCTATATTATCAGTGTCAGCAAAATTGACTGTCAAAACTGGTGGTGTCAACGCTGAATGATAGGCTTTCATCACAGCAAATGACGTGAGACCATGCGCGCACCTCAAGTTGAAGCTGTAGGTGAGTTCGCGTGCGGGCTAAATGGTCACGCCAATGATCCAGCTGGTTCTTCACGTGAACAAGTTGCTCAATGACTGTGGGCGTATAAATGTCCACCATCAGCTGCGTCAAGCTCGTCCTGCCAAACATGCCCCGAATCAAAGGGACCAGACATGTGCAGTATTGACCAACAGGCGGGACGGACAAAAGCACGAATGAGATGAAAGGCCAGTCGTAGCCTCATAAAGTACACGCCGATGTAATCTCACCGTAGCTGGGTTGTTACCAAAGTTAAGGAGGCAGACAGGTGGCGTTCAAAAGCATCCAGGTATTGCTTGGCTTCTTTCAACTTATGCTGGCTCAAAATGTTGGCGATTGAGGCCTCATTCTCTGCGAGCAACTGCGTACAAGTACGGCGTTCTCGTTGAGATGATGAAGCCTTGAGCATGACACAGCGGGCCAGACTTGCCTCGTGGAGCTGCTGGGTTAGCTGGGTCCGAGTCGTTTGAGCATCCTCAACTTGGTGACGCAAGGTCATGGCTTCTTCATCCTTGAGCCGCATAAGGCCTGGCAGCTGGCGTGCTTGAGCCATGAGATGCTGTGGCGAGGTATCTGGGCGACAAGTCGTGTCAGGGCTATTGAGGATCATGCTGATGCTATCCCTCTCATGGCATTGCTGTGTCATCATGTGTCTGCTCGTGCGTGGCGGTGTGTTTGGTGTATTTTGGTCAAGATTGGCAAAAACTCACGAGCTGAGCCATCATCTCGGGCCTTGAGGTGCTGTCGGTAGGTTTGGAAAAGGTTCAACAGACGCTGGTCAAGCTGAGTGATCAGCTTGGCATAAAGATGCTCAGATATCTCATGCTGTTGAACATCCCCATTTCCATATCAAGCCAAAAATAAGTCAGAGAAGCCCATGATGGGAGGTGCAGGCAAGCTTGGGACTGGGCGTACCTTTGGGCGACCGTGGGAAGGTTGAGCAAAGTGTTCGTACCGAAGGTCCAAGACACTGCTCTCGCCGTTGCTCAAAAGCAGGCGACATCTCATGTACGCCAGCGTCGCCGCGGCACTGGTCACTGCTTGGCGGTCAATCTGCCGAAAAAAAACAAAACCAACAAACAAAAACAAACACAACACCAGCATCGAGCCGCATGAGTCAACAACGAAGCGACCTCGCGCACACTCAATCCTGGTCGATACAAAGTTCAGAGTTCGAAGCATAGGCCCGAGTCGGCTTGTTTTCGAGTTGGCAAAATGCCTGGTTCCAACAAGTCGCCATGTAGATTGAGCCACGACATCGATGAGTGCCCACCTCAAGAGTTTGGGGATCTGCTGCTGCGACTGGGGTCAGCGTCGCAGCCTCGATGTACGCCTCGAGCTCGCGAACGAGCACTTCAAGCTCATAGACGCGGTCACTGACAGTTGTAGCAGCCCTCGATGCCGCCTCCATCTCTACTCGCAGCGCGTCAGGTACCAAACGTGGGGCTTTGATTTGGGCTCCGATGCCTCGAGGTCCCGTCTGAGGTGCCACGCCCACAACCCCCGCCCCCGATCCGCCAACAGCCGCAACTCGCCTCGTTCTCGTCTGAAAAAAAATCACAGCAAACGAAAACGGTGAAAATTTGCTCGAAATTTTATAGAGGCGGTCACAACACCTGTTTTGAGTAGAAAGGCGACAACGAGATGTTCTTTTGTCTTGTTTCCCTGTGTGTGAGATAAACCGTCATAAAAGTCACACTTTAAAAACCTGAATGCACTGGTACGCCGAAAACCACTACAAAACTATTCAAAAACCAGCTAGAACCGGGCCACCCCATTGCATTTGTCGCTCTCGCTCGTTCTTCTTGGTCCGGCGCCTCTCGCTCTTGGCAGACAAGTCAGACCTTTTAGGGCACGGCACGTCCAGTATCCTTGGCAAAGATGGCGCTCCGTCAGCTGGTTGCCCCGCGTTCCGCCACCGCTTTTGCGGCTGTGCGCACGGCCACTGTGGCTCACTCTCGTGGTGCGGCTCAGTCTGGCGCCTCGGCCCCGGCCCCCTCAGCGCGTGCCCCGTCGTCGGGCCGCATCTCCAACTCTGTGTCCGTCACCTCGGGCATCAACCGTACGTTCCGCTTTTTTCCTGGTGTGCGCTCCCACACCTTTGCACATACACAATCATCAAGTAATTGCACAGCCAAGAACAAGGACCATAGGGCCGCTCGTCAGCCGCCAAGGTGTCGGGGGTGACGAGAGAACGAGTGAGGGGAGGGCACCTGGTGTCTCCGACAACCTCTTGGAGTCGCCTACGCCTTACAGTCAGCGCTCGGCCCGTGGCCTCCACCACCTCACAAGACACTGGGCATCCCTTTCTTTGCTGGATTTTTATTCATATCCATATGGCTAGTGCTGTAATACGACCCCGTGCTCATTGTTTTCTGTTCGCTGGTCATGTGCTCCCGATGGTTTTTGCAGTTGGTCGCCAGGTCCGCTATGCGCATCTTGACGTGCCCAGCTTTGAGGCTGTCAAGCGCTCGGACAACGGTGACCAGAAGGAGGCTGACTACTCCCGCCGTGCCTTCACCTACCTCATGGGTGCAGGTGGTGCTATTGCCACCGCTCAACTGGCTAAGAGCATGGTCCAGGACTTCCTTGATACCATGAGTGCTTCGGCCGACGTTCTGGCCATGGCCAAGATGGAAGTCAACCTTGATGATATTCCCGTGGGCAAGAACGTCACTTTCAAGTGGCGTGGCAAGCCCGTTTTCGTGCGTCACCGCCCCCAGTCGGAGATTGATCGTGAGGCTGCCGTTGACGTCAAGTCTCTGCGTCACCCCCAGTCTGATGCTGAGCGCGCCACCAAGCCTGAGTGGCTGGTTGTTTTGGGCATCTGCACCCATCTGGGCTGCGTCCCCATTGCCAACGCCGGTGACTTCCACGGCTATTTCTGCCCCTGCCATGGCTCACACTACGATGCCTCGGGTCGTATCCGCAAGGGCCCGGCTCCCGAGAACCTTGAGATTCCCGAGCACTCTTTCGAGGACAACCGTCTGATCATCGGTTAAGCATGCCCATATTGGTTCTCACTCGCCACTTGGCTTGGCTGCTTGTGATCAAGGGCGCTCTCTTTCTCCCCTTCGAGGCGATGTTCCAGCGAGCATAGTCCTGTGATCCTTTCTCAGCCTCACCGTCCCAATTGGCCGTTCTTCTTCGTTTTTGTCGAATCTTCTTTTGATTTCTGTCCGTTTGTCTGCCTCGAATCTGAAATCTCTCGCTGTTCTATTTCATTGACGGTTTGAGCCGCTTCAACGGATTCCTTCCTTGCTTCTCGCGTTCACCTCCCCTTGTTCTGCTGTTCACATTTCTTCCTCTTTTTTTTTTTTTAATGTTTTGTTCGTTGCGAGGCCAAGTCTCGTCGGCCAACGGCCTTCTTCCCACCATCATTGCCCAACTCCTGTTTCTCTTGCTCCTCCAGTTACTTTTCTTCCCTTTCTCTTCCATTTTTTAGTGAATGCCGCTGTCCGCTCGACGTGGCAAGGCTGCTTTGTCATTGCACAACAGCCCCGGTCGCTTCAGATTATCATCGATGCGGCCTCAGACAAAAAAAAAAAAAAATTAAGCTGCATCTGCGGTGTGCCTAACTCACCGTGTTTGCTTGTTTGAGGCTTATTTGATGGTGCTACGGACCATCTTTCGTTGAGCATAGTCATGGCATCCGTCTTCTTGCAAAAAAAGAAAAAGAAAAAAGATAAAAAATGCAATCCGGGTTTAAAATTGACAAGGATTTCTTTCCTCAATTTTGTTTTTCCATTTGGGAACACCTCTTGCAGGATTGGGAAATCGCTCGTTGCGGCGGGTAGGGCCTTCACTGGGCCTGGTTGCCACCTCAAAGGTTACATACACCCAAGAAGAGGTTGAGTGGTTGCAGTCAAATGGTTGGCATTGAAACATGGCAGGGTTTACGCGATGTGAGCTCGGCTCGGCTTGGCTCAGCTCATGCCCGCACCGTTGCTCAAAAGCCAGTTGGCTGCCATGTTCTCGTCCTTCTCACATGCAATGTACGCCTGTAGGGCAAGGTTTCGGTCAAAGCCCAGCTGTGACAAACGCTCAACGGCCGCCATTTCCTCTTGCGTCAGCTGAATTCAAATGCATATCACGGAGCAGAGCCGTGTAAGAGAGCAAAAATCCACAATTATTCCTCACGCTCACATGCACTATCTGTGCGATACAACGAAACAAAAATTGCTGTGGCAAACAATTGTTGCGTACCTGCACACCGGGGAAACCTGAGCCGCCGGCGCCCGCAGCGCCGCCAGCACCCGGCATCGGAGCGCCGCCATTCTCATCCTCGGCGTTGAGCAAAATGTAAAAGTCTTCTTGATTCTCATTAATGAGCTACAATGCAAAAAAAAAAAATTCCGTAATCCAACAAAGGAAGGAAAAGAAAACCAAACACAAAAAACAAACGTGAAGAGTGAGGCAATGAGAGTGAGCGGGAGAAAGAGAGAAGGGCAAAGGTGCGTGCAACTGTCAGTCACAAGCCAATGCACAGCCATTCCTCGGGCCACTTGTTCAGAGAGGCTGAGCTGACAAGTGGGTGCGCACAGCGTACCGAAACCAGGTCCGGATTGCTGGCAGCAATCTGCTGAAGCATGGAGGGTAGGAGATGGGGTTGTTCCTGGACCAGCTGACGCAATTGCAGAAAGCTCGGGTTGGAAGCCAGGAAATATAGAGGACTGTCTTCGCTCAGTTCTATCGAGGAAAACCGAGCAGAGGCAAGGGCCACCCGCTCATGAGCTGGGCTAAGCATCAAGCCTGACCAATCAATGTCAATCTAACCTTGTGGCACCACTGCCTCGCCCTCTCCGCCCGCTGGCTCATCGGGTGTTGCATCCATGCTAGGAGCCTCCTCGGCAGGCATGCCCTGGAGTTGACCCACGCGCCAGAGATTTGATGGTCCGACATGCCACACGTGAGCAGGGCATACCATTCAAGCTGCGTCAAGGGCATATCAGACAAACCGTGGTCAAATACTCGGCGGCTCGGTCAGGATTGCCAAAAGCCCGACGCAGCGCGGCCTCGACCTGAGCGGTGGGTGTGCGTGATTCACAGCAAGTAAGTATGTGCATGTTTGGGCCGTGGCCCGTCGAGTCGGTCACGCTAGATGCAGAGGGCAGAACGTGGCGGCGCAAGCGAGCTGGGCATACCTGGGGACGGTCAAAGCCCATGTTCATGAGGCGATTCACATCATCTTCACTGGCAGCGCCTGCAGAGCAAGTCCGGTCATGAGAATGCAAGTTGCCAGAGCACCACGGTGAAAATGGCGAGGCGTGAAGAGTGACATACCAGAAGCCGACTGTGCTGACTGCGCTGGTTGCTCGGTGCTAGCCGCGGCTCTAAGAAGGTGGTTTAATGAACCAGGTGTCAAAGACCAAGCAGTCAAAGAGCCACAACTTAGGTGTCGCAACATCCGACAAATACGGTGTTGGCAAGACACGGGGCTTACGATGGGGCTGCAGAATTGCTCGCCGTGGGCTCGGCTGGGGCAGGCGTAGCAGCTGGCTTGGGCTTGGCCTGGGATTCAAACAAACGGGTCCAAAGTCAGGTACAGAATGCTTTGGGGTAGAAAATGCCGGTCCGCATTCATACCTTGCTGGCCATGACGACAAGAAAGTCCTTCTCTTGAAAGTTGGCCGAAGCCAAGGTATCGCTATCCCCGAGAACTTTGCCTAAGGCAAGGCGGTCACCCGCAAAGCAAACCATGTGGGCATGTCGTGTCACACTGTATTTATCGAGCAGGCGAGCCCGGTTGCAAGATGGCGACAACGAAAAAAGCAACAACCGAAAAAAAAAAAAACCAACAAACACTCCCACTCACCTTGGTAGATGACCTTGAGGCCATCCTTGGGATACTTATCCCCCTTGCTCTGCTCAATGGCGGCCTTCACCTCGCCAATCTAAAGAGCATAGCAGAAGGTATGTGTTATTATGACACAGGGTAACAGGCCAAGTCAAGACAACGAGCCATGACAAGCAACAAGCATGGCGGCTCAACAGGGAATGAGTCACTGACCGTCGCGTCGTCCCCCATCTGAAGGTCAAACGTGCCATCCTTGATGGTTTTAATGGTCACCTTCATGATGCCGGTGTCACAAAGTATCTTTCTGATGTATCAGCACAACACGCAAACGACGCGCCAGTTGACCAATGAGGTGACGTGACGTGGACGCGGAACCACAAGAAGCAACGAGCCGTTCACGTCCGCCTATTCAAGGCAGCAGGAACATCGATAGGAAACAAACAAACAACCCCCACCCCCATCCCTCAGTGACACAACCATCACTGAACAAGGCCGCTGCCGCCCACAGCACCACTGCCACTCTCGTGCGATATTCGGCGACGTACCCTGGTTCACAAGGCTCCAAAGAGAGAGAGAGAGAGAGATCCTGTTTCAATCCAAACGAGCGAGCGTTGTTGTTCAAACAGCCAAAAAGAAATAGAGAGACAGAGAGTCACAGAGACAGAGACAGAGACAGAGACAGAGACAGAGACAGAGACAGAGACAGAGACAGAGACAGAGACAGAGACAGAAACAGAGACAGAGAGAGAGAGAGAGAGAGAGAGAGAGAGAGCAATGAACAACTGGTTCAAAGCATGATATTAGTCACACTTTTATTAACATAAAGTGGTATTTTGATCACACTTTCGAGCACTATGTATTTTTGTTGGCATGGTCTCCTAGCAGACTTGGAGAGACTGGGAGACCAAGACAACTGCTTTTAACACCAAATCCGGAGGAACAGGGTGGTGGAGGTAGTTGTGGTTGTAAATGAAGAAAATGCAGAACTGTTAAGTAACACAGTGATAGTTTGTGCAGCAGTTCATGTCTGTTTTTGTTGTTTTTGTTCTGAGTCAGCCAGCTCCACTTTGCTGCCCCGCTCCGCTCGGCGGTTGGATGGAAGCGGTCTCAAAGGAGGCTGTGGCATTCAGGGAGGAAGGGCCATCAACAATCTCATCATTCAGTGGGAGGGAAGGGGGGAGTATAACCTCGTTTGTTCGCGTGGGTTAGCACCGGGCGCCTTGAGCGTCGCTATCCCACCCATCGTGCGCGATGAATCGGCAACGCACAGGCTCGCTGCTGCGCCACGGCCGGCGCGAGGAGTTCTTCATGGTGGCCGAGTTTTGCGAAATCGTTGGGCCCAAATGTGTGGTATGAACGTGCTGGCCGTTCTTTTTCGCGCTCGGTCGCGAGATCTCGTCTGTTGATCCAGCCCACATTTGATGCAAGGCTGCGTGCCTAGCCTGCCTTTCTCACTCGCCATCACCCACCTCCTCCCCACCTTAGCTGACGGAGCCGAGCAGTCTGATGGAGACCAACGACGACGACAACAGCTTTTTACAAAGCATTGCTCTTTGGCTCTTGACCGTGGATGTTCAAAATTTCAAGTATGATCACCGCACGGATGGCGTACAGGGCTCCCCCGCTTTTGTTGTGCTTGTTTGTCGGGTGGCACGTCCAGACTTTGCCCGACTTGGGTCGATGCTGTGTGGTCGCTGACGGGGGTTTCCGTGCACTTTCCGACTGGCCAGAGCTGAGAGCGACATGAGCATTCCCGTTGACGCGCAATCTGTCCTATCGCACGAAGATGGCATCACGCACGCCATCGTGCACTACGTTGCCCTCTACGACATTGACGCCCGTGGCTACACCCGAAGTTACTGTTTGGCCTATGTTGCGAATGACCTCTCCAAAGTCATGCAACATTACACAGAAATTGTCGAGGAGCTTGATAAGTTCGTGCAACACTCACTGGCCTTGCCCTGCAGCCTCTTACCGAAGGGGCTCCTTTGGCCCATCCTGTTGGCTTGCCTCACCGTTGCCCTCGCTGCCGGGCGTCGACTGCCTGATGCTTAGAATGGCGCGACTTTTGCACTACAGCAACTATCTTGATGTCATGGCGCAAATCTCCAACCGCCTTCACCGCTTGGAAGCGACGACCGACGACATCATTCAGTCGCAAATACCCGTATGTTTTGCTGCAACCATCCTACGACTTTGAAAAGTGCTGCCCATCGTTGACCCCCATTTGCTTCTCGTTAGGGTGGCGGCGAACAGCTCGAAAAAGCGCTCATAGCACGAGCCCAACAACGAAAGGACATGCTCAGTCTTCAAAGCCACGTGGAGCAGATCATGCGCACAGATAGCCAGGTCTGAATCGTACTACGCTGGCCACTTGCCCTTTTTCTCCTTCTTCTCCTCCTCCTTTGCACCGTCAGAGTGCCGACGATGCCTCCTCAACAGCGCGCATGTCATCATCCATCTCTTAGTACAATGACATCATGGATCGGCATGAGCGTAGTATGCTGACCGACTTGGACTTGAGCACTGCGCCGCGCACAGCCCGCCAGCACCGGACTTTTTCCTTTAACAGCACTCGAGGTACTCCATTCTTCTTCGCGTTGGGCAGCACAGCACCGCTGAGCATCGTCACGACAACTCAATTGACCGTGCCTATTTGTGACAATGTCAGGTGCTTCTGGTCGGCGCACAAGGAGCCTCTCGTTCACAGACCGGATATCACAGCTCTGTCAGCCCACTGCCAATGACGATTCACCAATTGACTTTTCTGTGGTGCGTGCCTGCGTATCTTGAAGAGCGGTGTAACAACCTCATTGCAGCAGCTTTGGCCTTGCCTTTCCTTCCCTGGTTTTTTTTTTTTTTCTTTTCTTTTCTTTTTTTTTTTTTTTTTTTTTCCCTTTGCGCTGTGTATTCTATCATTTCAGTCTCGAACGCCTCTCACCTCCTTGCTTGACTGCTTTTCGCATATGCTGCTAGAATCGAGATTATCTCAAGTCGCTGCGGCCATTGAGTGACATCTGCCAAGCTCACTTTTATCGAGTTCAGAACCAAATTCGGGTTCGTACAGCAGCACTGCATCTTGACGTTTCTTGTGATTTGCCCGTTGCTGGCCAGAGCAGAAATGAGCAGGGTCCTGCAAAAATACACAAGGCTGTGCACACTCATACATGAATACACGTGCAGCGGTTTTACAAGCACTATCACCGCAACGCTGCCGTTTTGGACATTGAACAAGAAGAGGCTGCCCTGTTGATACACCCGGAGTTCTTGTTGACAATTGGGCGTTGTGTAGTGACCTCATTTTTCGTGCCGGTATGCAATCGCTCGGTAGTTTGTCGTAACTGTCTCTCGTCTAGATAATGGCGCAGACATCGAGTCTTACCCTCGCGCGGGCCTCACTTAACGCTGTGTCACAGAACATTGCGGCCCAAGAGGCGCCGAGAAGCCATGTTTCGCAGCGCCCGGCATCCACCTCGGTCGACTCATTGCAGTTTGCACGATCTCGTATCCTTCAGCAACATAATTCGCGCTCCGACGTTTTGTACGGCACTGCATGGACATGCATGTGAACGTAGACCTGCCTCCGCACTCACACCGCCTATTTTTGCTGTTCCGCATCGCATGGCTTGGCCTGTAGCTCGGCCTCGACATCCATGATCTCGGACATTTACACGGACAATACTTCCATGGCTTATGTAAGGCGTCCGCTTGTGCCCCTTTTTCCAGGCGCGCTCGCTCCAAAAAGCTTAAAACTCTGGAGCTCAGGCCAAGCGTTTTTTTTTTTTTTTTCCTCACTGTTTGTGTGTCTTCCGTGAACGGACCATGTCATAGAGTGTCAACAGCGACGTATTCCTGGATGACGGCGGCGCGCCCTATAATAACCCCTTTTGGTTTGACTATGATGCAGCCCGCGATAGCAGTGCAGGTGGCCTTGGTGATGATGACCTCTCCCTCTACAGGTTTGTTTTGCGCAATGTCTCAGCTCCATGGACCCTCATTTTGTGAGTTGCTTCTTCGCGCTCAAACTCATGTTTCAACGGTGACTGTGCAGCGCTCGCGATGACTTGAGCACGTTTTCACCGCGGGATCGCATCACAAACATCATGGCAGTGCATGAGGCACAACGCTGTAGCTCGCCGCGCGCCGACCTTCGGTCTGTCGAGCCCAGCAAAGGCCGAGCGGCTGTGGCTCGCCTCTTCCCAGTACTTAGCGAAGAGGAGCCAGCCACACCAGTCAATCGGCTCGTCACCTCTACAGATACACTTCGCCTCGACTCGGTGGAATCGGTTGAGACCCCCCACCCTAAGACCCCCTTGGATCAGCTTTCCTCTGGCATTGTCGTGTCCGTTCACGACGATTATGCCTCCTCCGGCCCTCCGGATGAGGCCTCGCAAGCATCCAACCACTCTTTGCGTCTGCGTACCAATCGGCGCCCTCGGTTTCCGTTTCAGAGTGCAGCTGATCATGTCATCAGCGACAGTCGAACCAAACCGGGTATGTTTCCTCCTGTCTTTTAGTCACCTGCATTCGTGTACCTTCAGCGGTTCGTCTCGGCCTCGACTAGACGAGCAGTCTTGAACAGCAGGACGCCACCCTTATTACCCTCACTCCACTTTGAATTATCCTTTCACCTCGTGGTCGGATGTGATTGTAGGCACCGGGCTTTTGCAGCTACGAGCTGAAATTCCCTACCTCAAACACATCCTTTACGCCCTTTTCTCGGGCGTTCCAACTTTGGTCGTGGGTGAGTTTCCACCACCTGCTGCCAAGCGCAAGTCGCAACACCCGCCTCAATCCATGCTTGCACGGCCCTTTGCGTGTTTGCGTTTAAGAGTCTCAAGCCCACAGCCACAAGATCTCACTGTCATTGATCATGCTTTGCTACAGGCGATGAGAAGGAGGTTCGCGGGGTGATTCGTGCGCTTAGCTTTTGCGTGCCTTGCCATTATGATACTGCCGTCGTCGAGTGGTGGCCTGAGTCTGAACTGGTTTTGCGCGACTTGGCGGCGCTTCGCTTGGTACGTTTCATACGGTCAATTGTCGAGCGCAGTTTACGGCGAGACAGCGTGCTATGTCCTTCTCATTCGTGCTGGCTGCTGCTCTTGTTGTATTTACTCTGTGTGTCTGTCTGTGTGTCTGTCTGTGTGTCTGTCTGTGTCTGTCCGTGTGTCTGCCTGTCTGTGTGTCTGTCTGTGTGTCTGCCTGTCTGTGTGTCTGTCTGTGTGTCTGTGTGTCTGTCTGTCTGTCTGTCTGTGTGTCTGTCTGTTTGTCTGTCTGTGTCTGTCTGTCTGTCTGTCTGTCTGTCTGTCTGTCTGTCTGTCTGTCTGTCTGTATTTTGCTTTTTCTTTGGGGTGGGGCCATGATTGATGTTTGTCCATTCACTCGGACGCAGATTGGCATGAGTGTTCATGCTGCCAAGCATGTCTCGCGCGTGGCCATCTCGTAAGTCAAGGCCATGTGGCTTATTGGTGTTTTGCGTCTTGCTTTTTGCATGCGTCACAACGCAGATCTGCTTTTTTTTTTTTTTTTTTTTTTTTTCTTTTTTTTTTTTTTCATCTAATTTTTTTCCCCTCTCGACTGTGGGCATTGTTGGCCATGGCTGCAGCCAAGTGGCCATCTTCGACATCAACAGCGATACATATTGGGGGCCCCGCTACAAGGGCACGTTTTTGGAAAAAATGACTTCTCGAGCCATTCTGGTAGGGCATGTCGAACTGTCGTGGATGGTGATTTCTCTCAAATACTTGATCACTGGCAATGAATCACCTCAAATGCTCTCCGTATCTGCACACATCCCTTTTTAGTTTCCGGATGAGACCACATTGCTTGCACATATGCATGAGATCATGCTCAAGATGAGCTGGAAGTCTTTTCGCCACTTTCACGACACTTGTCTTTCTATCATCGACGGCGTACGTGGCTGCTTGGGATCCTGTTGAGAAGGGACAAGTGTTGAGGCCCATCCATGTTCAGTCAAAAAGGTGCTGATCACGTCTTTTGCTGGTGTCATGACCGCACACACAGGATGCCCCGCGTCGCGCGGTGTCGCCTTTTCATGACAACGAAACCATTAAAAAAAACCTTGAGGCTTGGGGCGTGTATCACTGGTTTGTTTCCGTCTGCTTGAGTATTGCCTTGAGTGTCGGACTGCTGCTTGAGCGGCGAGTCCGACTTGGTGGCGCATCGTCTCACTTCAGACTGCGGCCATCTCAGCGATGTACACATTGTGAGCTACCTGGCTGAAGTGGTCAAATCGCAGGTAGTTGCTGCACGCTCCACACAAAATGGTAAGTTTGGGCACCGCCTTCTTTTGCTATAAACGTCTGCCGGCACGCTTCAGGCCGTTTAATGTCCTCACCCACCACTCGACCAGCACCGTGTGTAGTGATGCGAGTGTTGAATAAGGAGGCGTTCCGAATCACACGCCCTTCGCGCGAAAAGATCCAGCGACCCTCGTTGTTTAAGAGACCCAATGGTGCGTTTGGACCTTTGCCGTGGCGAGTAACCGTTTCTGGATAGATTCATTTTTCCACGTCTCATTCATTGCCCCAACATAGACTGAGCTCTTGCCGTCGTTGACTGCCACCGCATTCTAACAGGCCATGCTAGCCTGCCTTGTGGTCTTTCTGTTGTGGGCCTTCACTTCGAGGCTGTCTCTTTGCGCTGTGCGCAATCGAATCAACTGACACACAAGCCAGTATTTTCAATCACTCAACGCATCACTGAGAACTTTTGTACATGTACATAAATTTGGTCAGGATGTAGCAGCAGAGGCTTGAGATGCTGAAGGCACACCATACAGCGCACGGCATTGGTGTGACTGCAGTAATTCTCGATTGTGTTTATGCTCACATGCATTATAGAATCACACAACAAGAGCCCTTGCTAGCCACTTCATGCTGTTCATCAATCGCATCAAGGCCCTCGACTCCGAGGACACCTTCCTCGCCTTCAATCGTTGAGGCCCGTGCACTGCTGACAGGAGTCTTGGATTTGCGCTTGCCCGAATGTTTGCTGGAAGCAGCACTTTTGGTGCTGTGCGTTGAGCTTCGCTTCGTGTCAATGGGTTCAGCCAAGCCTGCCGCCTCCTCGGAAGTGTGGTTGTCTTCCACCACGTTCACTAATACTGCTGCGAAAAAAAGAACACATCAGACACGGTGTGCAACGGGGCATGAGTAACAAAAGGCCTTGCTGATGCACAGAGATGGGTGCGCCCTTACCACTGGTCGCATCAGGTTCCATGTCGGCCAATGACGACTTGGCCCCTCGGATTTGGTTCAACTTGACTATAATCTCGTTGGGCTCCTCCTAAAGTCCCAGATGGCCAAACACAAAACCCAATGACTTGAACGAGCGCTCCAATGCCGTAGCAGCTGCAAGCACTTCCTTCACCCTGATCCCAAGACTCGAACAAGGAAAATACCTGAGGTTTGGGCTTGACTTTGACGGGCGGGTCCATGACAGAGCTGCGAAGCTGGCCACGGGCAGCCGCGATCTGCTTCACATCGACTGCTGCGCCAAGTGCACCCCCAAACATAGCCAAGCCTTGGCGCTTGGCCCGCTGCTTGGTACTTTGGGGAACAGGCACGGGCACAGCAGGGCCGTATTCCAAGCAAATAAAGACCTTGTCCTGCACCCGAAACACAATGTAAGGTTCTTAATTATGCTACCCGAAGAAGCTGCTTGAACTGGCGTGATCCAACAACAAGCTGTGCTCCAACATCTCAGGCCATTGCGCTAGTACCTACCGCAGCGCGTGTATTCATGGCACTTTGCAGCCGTTGGACGCGAGAATCGAAGCTGATGCTTTGGCTGACTGAGCCCTCGTGAATATTCCACACCTACATACAGATCAGGGCATCAAAGCGGCATATCAATAAAACAAACATACAGATCGTCTGAAATAAGTCACGAGGCTCGTGAAACGTGCAGCATGTATGGTATTAGTGTGGGAGGAGTGCTGGAACGAAAATAGCTTAAGAAACCACAATCCTTCACCTGAATGTCTCGTTCCGTTGCTGTAATAAGGATGCCCGAAGTTGATAGAGCACAGCCAACAAAAGGAGCATCCAGCACCAGCTGGGCATCACGCACGGCGCTATGAAGGTTCCACACCACGACTTGGTTCGTCGAGCTACGCCGGTATGGAAAGCACAAGGGTAAAAGAAGGGGTGTTGTCCCCAAAATGTCATGAGAAAAGGCCAGTCACAGCGCTTACGAGACTCTCTGAGACCTTTGACGCAAGAGCACGGGCATGCATAGAAGCGTGAAAGCAATGAGCAAACTTACGCGGCAACAACAAGATCATCGTTGCAAGTCAAATCTACCAATGGACTCTCAAGACCCTTGTACGTCTGCGCCACCGTCATTTTGCGGACATCAAAGAGAACGATGCCACTCTCCATGGCAATCAGTGTGTTCTCATTGACTGCAGAAGGAGTCAAGGCACACAGAATATCGTGAGAAGCCCATCAGTGCCAGACGAGACTCTAAAGGGAGGAAGAAGCCATCAACCGCTCACCGGAGGGGCACACGTGTGCTTGCGGATAAATGGCTCGCAAACCAAGCTCGATCGGGTTACAGATGATGACCTCGTCGACAACTTCAATGCGGTATAGCCCGCCATGCTTGGTGAGAGCAAACACGGCGTTGCCAGCTTCCCAAAAGCGGACGACACAATCCTCGTCCTGACTCTCGAGTCGACCCACTGCAATACGTGCGAGCTCGTGGTCGTACAGCTCCACCTCACCGTTGGCCGTTGCTTGATAAACAACGAGCTGCCCGGTGCGGTCTAGGCCTAAGACAGCCGAGAGTTCTTGACTGCCTCGGTGCACACGCGCCTCCTTCATGTCTTCCACGTCGATGACAGCCCAGCTGTCAGCCATCAGGTGATCTTCGGGGCGCGCATAGGTCAGCACACACAGGCCAAGACTGGACACATGGGAGTGGTATCGCTCATCTTCTCCATTGATGGGCAAGGATAGAATGCTGTGCTCGAGCGTCCGATCCCAGCGGCCCGCTACCAGGCCTGTATGCAGATCCCACTTCAGTATTTCTGTGTTACTGGCCGTCAGAGCTATATCGCCCGCCTCCAGGACGCACATCCAATGAGATGAGCTGGCATGGAAATCACGGAGGTGGGCTTGTTCACAGCTCGACCGATCGCTACCCTGGCCAGTTTGAAGCTCAGCGCCTGGGCTTGGACGAGGCTGAAGAACAAATAGGCCACCGTCAGCCACCACCAGAGCCACTCGGCCATCACTGCCCACCGCCGCCTCATTGACACGCTCTGCAAAAGAGTGCGGAATGGGGTAGCACGCAAACAGATCAACCTCCACGTCCGTGTAGGCGTTATTGACCGGGCTAGCCTGGTACACCATGACATGACTCTGCAAGACCACGGCCACCAATAAACCATCTGAAGATACGGCGAGGGCTTGGGCCTCTTCGTCCACGCCACTGGCCATCATAATGCCATGGCTTTGACGCTTGAGCACAAGACAGCCCTCGACTCCTTCATCGCTTGGATCTTGCGTATCCCATACATAGTGGAGGAGAACAAGGCCATGGGTACCAATTTCCACACCCCAGAGTGACCGAAAGGGCGCCAGCGCCACCAGGTCTGCGTCTAAACTTGGTGAGGCCCAGCAAACCTCATTGCCTGGCTGAACCAAGAACAACTTGTTGTCACAAAGGGCCACCACTTCGTTGGCCGAGGCATAGCCGATGGCTGAAATAGGCTGTGCTGGGTCGCAAATATGTGTCCGTGTCACTCCTGCAATGTCATTGGATCGTCACAAAAAACATGAGGGGAAGGAAAAGCGGCATCAAAGTGCCAAACAACTCTGCTTCAGGATCAAAATGCTTCATTATCAAAACATTGCTCCCCTCGCCCCTAGCTTGGCCCTCGCCTCGAGGGGGGGAATGCTGTCAATCCAAGCGCTGAATCGAAGAAAAAATGGGGATACACATGCGACACGTTCAAAATGCTTGTATGTTGCTCACCTTCAGTATGGACAACAAGGCGACCGGCAGCGCAACCAACGGCGACGTGTTGATGGTCCCAAGCGGACACACACTGTCCATCGGCCACCGCCATGATCGGAGAAGTGCCGCTCAAAGCGTCAAGAGAATCAGGCTGCAGCACGCCCTGGGAGGAAAGCACAATCACTGCTGAAGGGTCTCCGTGCAGCACCGAGGTGGCGGCTACCACTGCATCAGCCCCGCGGGGGACCACGGCCATGGCCGGAAGGCGAGCTGGGGTGGCAGACGCTGGGTCCACGTCGGCAGGGCGTATTGCGACGAGGAGTTCGCCGTGTGTGCTGCAGGCAAGGAACGGAGTCGATGCATTGACCGGGCAAAGATGGACATTATGCAAATTTCGATGATAAGCAAATTCTTGTAACCAATACCGACTGGGTTCGTGCATACACGGTATGAGGGGGTGGGCCACAAATTGCTCGCTTTTGCAAGCTGCGAGCGCGGCATCGGTCAGATGCTTGATGTGCACGAGATGGGCGGCGCTCGTCAGTCGGCCCAGAATTTGAGCGGCAAGCTGGCCGGGATGACGGGTCAAGATGGCAGCGGCAGCATGCACAAAGCGGACAAAAGTGTGGCGGGTCGGAACAAAGTCGCGGCGACCCTCGGGGACTTCTACCCAGTGATTGGCAAGCACTGCAAGGTGGGCGAGACCAAAAGCTCCCATGGCGGCCAACGTCTCAGCAAGAAAGTTAAACTCAAAGAGGCAGGCCGTGTCCAGAAGTTCCTCCTGCTCAATCATCTTGAGCAGACGGGGTAAAAACGTCAGCAGGCGCCTGTTGGGCTGGCCAATAGCAAAGCGCACAGGCTGATCGGGAACGTAACGATCCAGTGATGTCTTGGTGTGCTCGCTACCTTTGATGCCCTGGCCTGCAAGGAAGGGCTGCTTGCGACCATGCTGTTGGCCTCGATAAAACACGACCAACGCCTTGGTAGCTTGCATAAGGTGATTGGTGTCCAGCTGCTGGGCCAATAGCACAGCCATCTGCGTGTTATCGCAACAAGATGAGGTGTCAAAGCAACATACACACAGTTGCTTCAAGACAAGGACGGGGCGCTGACACGATACAATAACGCATTCCATGATCACGTTGCAAAAGCCTTGAAGACAACTCGTTGAGCGCAGGAGAAAAAACGCGTTTGCTCGGGCATACCTCGCTGGAGGGACACACTACCATGGTGCCGCTGGAGAGCGCTATCAAGTCAAGCAGACTAGAGCGCCGACAGGCGTGAACGAGCGCTAGGACAGTGCTGGAAGCGACACGGATTGCGCCGTCTGTGGCAGAGGCGACAGCATGGCTCTCGGCAACCGCCTCATCCACCAGTGAAAGGACATCAAAGAGCTCGTGAAGGAGCACGCCATAAGGCGAGGAGAGGATGACGCCTAGACACGTGTGTGCTAGCGCCTACTCCAACAGCGCATGCAGATCGATAGACACGCTTAGTGTAGAGGGCATGAGCAGCACCAACGAGAAATGGAAACTCAACACGCACCATGCCAAAGGTATTGGTGAGGGACAACAAGGCGTCTTCAGCCAGACCGCGCGTCGTGCTGGCCAGCTTTGCCTCTTTGGTGGGACGGCTAGACGGCCATTGCAGAGCCTACGCATCATCAGGAGGGGTGTGGATGAAGATGGACTTGAAAGCTGGCTGTGTGCTGAGGCTGCACCTTGCACTCCCGTCACTGATCATCCGGTCACGGCAATTTCAACGTGCATGTGCCGTACCTGGGCCATGGCCAATTGAACGGCAAGTGGGGTGCCGTTCTGCTGCACCGTGTTTTTGAGCGTCTATAAGGATTCGCGCAAAAGAGGTCATGAGCACGGACGTTGACATTCGCTCTTTGGCATACGGAGCAACGTGACATCTTGACAATTGGACCAACCGTTTGATGCAAGCTCGTAAGCTTGCGAGCGTGCCGCTCTTGCTGATTGGTCGCAAAGACCTCGCTGTCTTGGGGAGGTAATTTAGTTGCCTATGAACCGTCGTGGCCAATCAAATTCCGCTAATGAGCGATTAGGGGGAAGATCAAGCCGGGCGCGTCAAGCGAGCACACCTGAACAACGACGACGTTTGGCTGTGCACGTATTTGTTGCAGGCGTGGGTCATCGCCTGGATGGACAAGCGAATCGACATTGCACATCAGGCTACGATATCGTGAGACAACCATTCTTGAACACAACAGCTGTGACAGTACCTGTGCTTTTGAGATTGTTGAAGGCCACCAAGACGCAACACGAATCAGCCAACTAGCGATCAAGGCCGCAGCATGTGAGAGAATATCAACCACAAACAGTATGACGAGTGTGAAGCTGCGAGCTTGCAAACCTGGCTAAGCACAGAAGGCAGCAGATGGCTATCACGTGTGGAGATGAGACGCTCGAGTCCGAGAAGAGCGACGACAACGCGCCGATCCAGGCTCTGCAGCGGAAGAGGGCAAGGGTGGGGAAAATTCAAAAAATCAAGAAAAAGTCAGATTTAAAAAGAGTGCGCGCGCACACACATACACACAGAGGCAAATCCAACGCTACAGAATTTGTCGTAGGCTGCTGCATCTGCATACGTATGTCTGCCCGTGACCAGCAAAAAAGACATGCACACCTTGCGAACAAAGCTAATCTTGTCAAGCAGGGCACCAACACCAAAAGGGAGCTCCTCGTCAGCTTGGCTCAACTGCTGCCAGAGCTGAGCACATATTGTTCGCAGCAACGCCTCGATTGTTTCCGATGCCCACGATACACCGACTAATCGCACGCATACAGCCTATTTAATAGACCCACGGGCCATCACCAGAATGGTAAGTCAAGTTCCAGAAGATCCAAGTGTTCAGTGAGGAATCCAGGGAGGGTCTTTGGACCTACCGTGTTTGGAGCCTCAACTGCCAGCTGTTGGAGGGCACGAGCAGCCGTGGCCTCAACGCAATAGCCAAAAGGGCCATCCAGCAGCACCAAGCCGGCGTCGCAGTTGAGAGTGCTAACAAGCGTAGAGCTAACAGACGTGGCGATAGGAGCCATCAGCAGACTGGCGATACGCGCACTCTGCACCTCCAACTCGTGTTCCGCCGTCGTTTGTTTGGTCAAAGCGAGCTGACCAGCCACTAAGCAGGCCAATCGTGTAGGGAAGCGGCAAGGCGAGCAATGCAAGCAAGAACAGAACGATGAGATGCCGACAAGAAAATGACGCTGACTACCGTTGACGACAGACAGACTTTGTGCAGCACGATGCTGAACCATGTGGGCCACTTTCTGTGACACTGTCTTCAGAAACTGTCGATGAGCGGGGTGCTATTCATCGGGGCATCAATAAGCAGAATGCAAACGCAAGTCAGCTTTGTCGTACTTCAGAAGAAAGAAAAAAAGAGTAGAAACGTCGCACATGGACCATGGCAGAGTGCGGTTGCTGACCTGGCTGTTTGGCGTTGTGTTCCAAGGCAATTCGGTCTCCAGCAACTCGACATTCTTTTTGCTAACATGCTAATTTGTGTCAAATTTTCCATCATCCACGGTTCGCGTCAATAGTGTTATGAGCGTAAAATACCGCGTTGTGATACAAGATGAAAGGGTGAAAGTCAAAAGAGGAACCAACCGGACGTGTCTCCTCAATCAGCTGAGCAATGCGTTTGGCATCATCGATGCCGCCAAACGTGCGTGCCCGCACTTCCTCATCTAGGTACGGGCAGGCATGGGGCGTGAGGTCAAGTCCGAGGAAGGTACCTTGAATAGTCGTCAAAAAAAAACTTTTTGTTTAAACACACCGAGATTGTCAGGAACTTGTGCAAAGGTTCGGTGCACAACTAGGACTGTACAGTCATTCTTGGCCATGCGCTCAAGCGCCACACTCATGCCTATGAGCAGTACCAGTGGTTGAGTTTAAGGCAAAGTGCCCCGCTGAGACGAGCATGATTGCAACATTGCCAGTTCCACTGGTGGGTGGCAGAAGGTCGAAGAGTTGTACCGTGTTCAAGAACGCTGCCAGGCATGTCGTTGATGGCAAACTCGGGGTTGGCGCCGATGGCGGCAAAAGCGCGTAAAATTTTGTCTTTAACCCCACGCCATTGTGTTTGGCCTAGGTCAAATCCACTCGCGTCAGCAAACACGGAGCATGATCGGCAGTGGCCAGCACTCAACAGCTGCCCAGGAGGCACGAACGCAAGCTCTGGCCCCAGCAAGCACCGATTGCTCACCTTGCTTAGCAGTAGCCCTTTGCCGATGCTTGAAGTTTTTCAACTTGTTGTCAATGTCCTGCCAAGGGCCGACTCGGTGAGCAGCGGGAGAACGGCCTCCCAATGGAGATGGCCAGGGTCGCGCAATGCCTTGGGATCACACCTGTAGCCGATAGACTGGCGGCGTAGCGCTCTCGTCCAAAATGAACCAAGCACGAATGGCCAGGACTACGTCGTCATCCGGGGCCTTGTTGATCAGTTGGTCGTAGGCGGCCGGGGAAATAGCAGCTGGAAGGAGGGGTTCTCCGGCGCGCTCGCCTAGAAGGGCAATGATGATATCGGCGGCCTCTGCGAGATGGTGGGTGACTGTAGCGCCGGCATGATGGCCATACTCAAGCCCAGGCCAGCCGTACTGCACGTCGTGGATCTATGAATCCATTGATGTGGTATGAGCGGAGCATGGTGATTGCATATGGGACAGCTTAACACGGCAACTTGGCGTCAGTCAGCAGACCTCAAGTTGAATACCCTGGGCCTGACAATCTGCACGAAGCGTGGTGTGCAGCTGTTTCCAAAGGGACTGTCGCTCTGTGCTCAAGTCTACATGTGATAAAGGTTGTATGCATGGGCACACATTCGGCCATTGAGCTGTGAGTTGAAAAACAAACGTGGCGGTGCAGCTGGGTATGCACTGGCTGGGAAATCTCAAGCCTCACCTGTGTCATCAGCAATCAAAGCTACACGAATCTGTTGACTCTTGGCCAAACCTAGACGAAGGCAGAGGGTGCAGATTGCGTTGAGCATCGGGCTGCCAACGGTGTGAGACGACGTGGTAGCAGACGAACGTGGGATGGCGGCCCATTTTGCCATGATGAGGATGCAGAGCTGGTGCTTGAGGTCACGGCTTGTGCCACACTGGCTGAGAGATGGGGCTTGCCCTTGTTGCTCCTCGTCTATGGAAGTCCAATGAATTTGAAGCGTGAGCCGGCTCGCGTGTGGGCCACTCCTTCGTCATGAGCCCCAGGTATCACCGCATTGAGGCCCAAGCAGTCCTGGCCATCATGCCAAAACCCAAGCAGGAAGGCTTTCTCGTTCCGCGCCTTGTCCTTGATGTCATGCATGGCAGCTTGCAACGTACCCCTCTGGACCTTC